TGGGGAGGACTGGGCTGGCTCTGCAGGCTTCTGGGGGTGGAACCTCTCCTGCAGCCCCCCAATTGCCCTCTCTCCCCAGATGGCAGCCTGCGGCAAGTGCAGCTGGGCTGATGGCCGAGTGCTGTGATGTGCCCAGTGTGGGTACTCTGGGCAATCCAAGCCAGGACTGCTTTGCAAGCGGGGCACCCCGAGAACTGTCTGTCCGGGGTGGGGGTGGGGTCCCTTTAAGCAAAGCCCTCGGCTAGCCTGAGACAGCAGCTCCACGCTCTAAGTCCTCATCTGATGCCCTGCCGGCACTGCTTCCGGCCATCCTTAACCCCGGTTCAGGGTCCACTGTGTGTGGACATGCTAGTTCGAATTAGCAAAACGCTAATTCGAACTAGTTTTTTAGTCTGGATGCGTTGGTTTGAATTAGCTTAGTTCGAATTAACTAGTTCGAACTAAGTTCGAATTAGCGCTGTAGTGTAGACATACCCTCATTTAGATATTCTACTGTCTTCTACTTGTCAGTTTGTCTCAGAACTGGTGGAAAAGGCATCATGAAAGTTTTTCTGTTTTTTTTTAATCCTCTATGCGACCTATAATCACCTGTTATTCTTAGTGTAACAAATACATTTTTTGTCAAAAGTATTGCATGACCCTGAAAATCATATAATATTAAGCATTAACATGAGCTAGTTGAATAGTTTTGTGATTCTGGTATATTTTTGCTTTAAAAATGGGGGGGGGGAATAAAACAGTAAATCTGAACAACCATTAAATGAGTACAGAGGTGCACAAAAGAGCTGTAACTACATGACAATGAATGTGAAGTAGTAAACTGAATAATGCAAATTAAATTGCTGTCTGCACTTTTATCCGATAATAATGTATTCAGATCTTACTGTTTTATCATGCTCAATTGCTGGCTCTGTTTATTTGGTCAACAGAAAAGAAACTGACCAAGTTTCCTAGACCTGATGTAGCAGGTAGCACTCACATTGAAGAGTGCAGGAGATGGGCAGGTTTATGCTAGAGCTGAATATCTCTCTCTCTCTCTCTCTCTCTCTCTCTCTCTCTCTCTCTCTGTGTGTGTGTGTGTGTGTGTGTGTGTGTGTGTGTGTGTGTTTGATTGTTTGTTTGAAATGCAATGAGAGCTGCATTTCTGGTGTTTTAATTTTTACATGTTACATTATCATTGCAGTCCAATTCGCCAGACGGTCTCTTTGAAAATGGGATGGCAGCCAATGAGAAAAAACCAGTATCTTTCAGTTTTGGCGATATACCCAATGGAGATTGTTCTCCTCAATCCAGCACAGTCAATTCAGTCTCTACTCTTGACCCTTCTAGTCCTGAAATTACTGTCATACCTCCAGAGCACAAATCCTCAACGATGGATACTTCCAGCACAAACTCATCCCTGGACTCTACACCTGAGTCAAAAGACTTGAAGTCAGAGCCAGAGCACACACCAGTAAATGAGAACAAGAAAAGTTCCAGAGTAACCTCTGAAGTTCATCAAAAGCCTCCTGGCCCTGGGAGCAATAACCTATTTATAGATTCTAGGGTGCCTGTCTCACTTCTACAGGACACAGATGAAGTGTCAGAGCTGAAACCAGTGGAACTGGATACCTATGAAGGCAACATCACCAAACAGCTGGTAAAAAGGCTCACCTCAGCAGAGGCTCCAATGACACCCGAAAGGCTGCAATGTGAGGGATCAATAAGTGGCGAATCAGAAGGATATAGGTCTTATTTAGATGGAAGCATAGACGATGCCTTTCAGGGGCTTCTCCTAACACTTGAGCCACATAAAGAACAGTACAAAGAATTCCAGGACCTGGACCAAGAGGTGATGCGTCTGGATGATATTCTAAAAGTAAGTATATTTTCAGAAAACACTAATAAAGAACATCAGAATGAGTATAGTAGGCCCTGTGAATTGTAAACAGCAAAGTACCATTTGTTCAGTCTGCTTTCAAGAGCTCACGAAAAATATCTAAAACCAACTGATTCACTCCAATCACGATTGACAAACCATCTCTTTAGATTAGGGGTCTCCAACCTTTTTACACCAAAGATCACTTTTTAAATTTCAGGGCAACCCAAGATCTACCCTGCCCCTTCCCTGAGGCCCCGTTCACTCCATTCCCCCATCTCTCCATCACTTGTTCTCCTGCACCCTCACTCATTTTCACTGGGGATGTGGACTCTGGGCCAGGGGTTTTGAGAGTAGGACGAGGTGAGGAGTGCAAACTCTGGAAGGGAGTTTTAGTGCAGAAAGGGACTCCAGGCTGGGGCAGTGTGTTAAGTGCAGGATGGAGTGGAGAAGGGGGTGCTGGCTTGGGTGGGAGGTCAGGGCTGCAGGAGAGGGTGTAAGATGCAGGCTGTGGCTGGGAGCCAGCACTTATCACAGGAGGCTCCTGGCCAGCAGAGTGAGAAAGGCTGCTTGCCTGCCGTGACCCCATGCCACTCTCAGAGGTGGCTGGTTGCAGGCTTGTCTGTACTCCCCTGGAGCGGAGGAGGCGGGGAGAGAAGGCAGCAAGACAGCATGCCTCCATGTGCTTCCCCCTGCCCTGAGCACCTCTCAGAGCTCCCATAGGTCAGAAGCTAGCCAATGGGAACTGCAGGCATGGGCAGCTTGCAGCGACATGCTGTCCCATTTCTCTATCTCCCCCCCCCCCCCCACCATGGGAGTAGAGATGAGTTTGCAGCTAGAAGGCAGCCTGTCTGAGCCCTGCTGCACTGCTGGGTTTTAGTGGCCCAGAGATCATGATCAACTAGTTGATTCTGTAGCCTCAGCCAATCGATCGTGATTGACAGTTTGGTGACTCCTGCTGCAGAGTGACATTTTTGTCGTTTGCAGTTTGGTTACAAGTACCTTACATTCTTGAGCAACTCATAGTTTAATGTAATTAGAAGATGAAAAAATAACGGGGTTACCTTAATGAACAAAAAATTGAATAAATTGCCCCCACTGCAGAAATTATATAGTGAAACTATGACTATGTTGTGCAGGAGGTCAGATGACAGTAGTCCCTTCTGTCTATAAAAATCTGCAGGCTAGAACCTCAGTTGCTATAAATCAGTATGTCTCCCTCTGAAGTCAATAGAGTTCTGTCAGTTTCTGCCAGATGCAGTTCTGGCCTCATAACTGAAGGGGTAAAATTTTTCAAAAGCATCTAGGTATCTTAGCAGCACCAGGTATATTGAAAGTCACTGGGACTTTCGCTCTTAAATCACATATGCTACTTTGTAAACCCGCTCCTGAGTATCTAAATCATAGTACCAAAGTAGTGTACGACTGGAAGGGACCTCAAGAGATTGCCTGATCTAGTCCCCTGGACACAAGGTGAGACTGTGTATTGCTACAAATCTTATAATTAGGTTAAGAATGAGACTGAGTATGTGATAAAACTAAAGGAAAAATGATTTTAACATATATTACAATACGTAGTGTCTAACCTTAGATTTGTTTTACAGCTCTTCACTCATTATTGAGACTCATTTTTCCCCATAAGATGATATTCATGATTCTTTATCATGAGGGCAGAGTTAATTGGAAATAGCTGATTTCAAATGCTTCATATTCATATGCCAGGTGGCCTGTTGGCATGGTCTGAATAGTGTAGAATTAGCCACATAATTGAACTAAGGAAAGGAGGGAGAGGTTGTCCTTTTACTTTACCATTTTAACATCTGTGTTTCCATTGGCATTTACAGCTACATGGTACTTTTCCAAGCTAAGTGCTTTTTTGACAGCCCGTGCCTCCTGCTCTGGCTCCCTGAACTAGCTCCGAAGTGGATTTGTACACGAGAGACTACAAGTATCGGGTATTTTTGAACTTCTCAGCCGCTCTGCTGCCTGTGCAAATGAGGTCAGCTGTCAGAACAGTACTGGGGCAGGGGAAAGTATTCATTTCGCTCTGTGAAGCATATCATAACAAAAGGAACAGAAGGGGGGATGCATGTTCAGGTGGTGCTGCTTGGACTCTTGAGACCACTGCTGCTTTGAGATCACCATTCAACCTGTTAATTTGCTTGAGGATCGAGACTGTGGGTCACTCACTGAGTTGCTGGAATTTATGCGCAAAAGGGTCAAGACAAAAGTTGTTCTAGATGAAGAAAGCTTCTCTTGACTCTGTCAGCAGGAGGAGAAAAGTGGCATCAGTTTCCAGTTTTATTTTGTCCAGGACAGGAAACTGCCTTCCTAGCTCTTCAAATGTATAAGCAGAACGAAAGGTGGATACCTATCTCACAGGGGTGTTGTGAGGATTGTTTAATGTTTACATAGCCTTGGAAGGTGTAAGATACTGTAATGCTGAAGTATTAATATTATGTACAGATGGCATAGGTGCAAAACTCCAAATCACCCCCAGCTGTGGGCAAGTGTGGTGCTGGAATCGGACTTGATTCAATAGAGGAATGTCTTGCTCTCCTCCTCTGCCTCTAGCCCTGTACAATAATATGGAGAAATGGGACCAAATTCATACCTGATTTAATCCACTGAAGTTATCCCAGGAATGAATTTGGCCCAGTATTGCTTAAATGAATGCATGTAATTAAGCTTCTGTATCTAAAATTACTGCCTTATATTTTCACCCTTCCACATGTTAATTAACGGTGTCCTCTTGAAGGCCACCGAAGGTCCCTTCCCTTGACTAAGTGAAAACGTAATCATTTTTATAGGACGAGAGTTGAATGCCAGCCTTGATGTGTTTTCCATTTGGAGCTTTTTCAGTGTGCCAACTTCAATTGTATTTCTTATGAATATGAAGGTTTGAAATTAACATAACCCAATAAAATGAAGTTTTAAAAAGAGCATGAAAAGTTGTAAACTCTCATTTTATCCCTTTATCCGTGATTAAACATATGTGTGGTGTTCATTGGTTTGTTCTGCCTTTGCAGTGCAAGCCACCAGTAAACGGAAGCAGGTCCTCCAGTTTCAGTCTAACAGTTGAAAGTGCTTTAGAAAGCTTTGATTTCCTGAACACCTCTGACTTTGATGAGGAGGATGGTGGAGGTGATGAGGTTTGTAATGGTGGAGGAGGAGGTGCTGACTCAGTATTTTCAGACACTGAGCCCGAGAAGACTAGGTAAGTGAACAGTGACAGCCAGCTTGAGGCTCTTGAGTCAAGCTGCTACACTAGTTCTTTGTCACTAACAGAGAGGATCCTGGTGCACACATTATTCAAGGAAGATTAAACTAGATATCTGAGGTTATCAATCTGAGGTTTTCTATTAGTTAACAATATGAATCTCTTCAAATGCAGGTATCAATTTTTCCTTGACCAAACTACCACAGTCTCTTCACCAAAAGAGAAGTGTAATAAATTAGTGCCCCAAAGATCAATATCTGCAAAGCCTCTTCCTTGATATAGGTTTGGACCTAGGTTTCCTTGATTTGGATTTAATAACTAATTCCTCTGTGTTTTTCCCCCACCCTTATCTTTTCTCTCTAGCCCCATGAGTGTTTGCAGTGGATTAGGCTTGTCAGTAACAGTAACACAGGGCCAGATGTAAACAGCATGGTGTAGGTTTCCTTTGAACTGTAAGAGTGATGACTGGTACTTTGTTCCTGGCCCTCATTCCGCCACTGTCTGTGTGAGGAGACATAGTTGTGTGTTTATGTTCTGTCACATCACCTTGTGAAACTGACTGTGTTTTATCATTAGATCCTCATTATACACGTCACCTCAGCAGAACTAAAATATGATGCACAGAGTCTGCACACTTCAGCTAGGATTGCAGAAGGAACAAAGAACACACAGTGGCTTTCTAAAAGGAAAGCAATGTTTCCCACTACCTGTCATAGCACCTGTAAGGCATTTTCAAGCCTAAGTAAGCAACCACAATTCTGCCACCAAAAAACTAAACACCCCGATGCATACTTTCCCTCCCAACTTGGACTTATGGTGGAAGTAAATTATGTAAGTTGCATTGTTTGCTAACTTAGGCATTATGAACTTGACCCTGCTCCCACTGAGGTCAATGAAAAACTGCATGCAGTCAGGCCTTCTATAGGCAGCATTGCAATTAAGTCAATTAGTGTTAAATGAAAAGGGCTCCTTTTTTTTCTAATGCAAAGTTTGACAGCAGCCTCAATTCCAACTCTGATTTTAGCTGAATTTTAACATGTAGTTTAGAGCATCTAACCAAGGTGCTGCGGATGCTCTGATTTTTAAAACGTTATTGTACATTGGAAATCAGTATTGGGCTCTACATTCAAACCAGGAGAGAACACTGTTGCAACAAGAAAATGGAAATAATGATTTAAACACAGTGAGAATAAGTTTTATCCTGTGGGAAAAAATACTGTGAACTGTTTGTTATACATACTATGCCTAGAACAGCAGATGGAAACATCATATCTTTTATGCCAGCCATATTTTCTCTTTTACTAACAATTAAACCTGGTGTTCTCAAAACACTGATAAATTAGTTCTTAATGGTTTAATTTTTGAGAGAACTACAAATCAATCATGCAGTTTAATTCAGAACGATTTGATAAATAATAAAGTCAACAGATGAAAAAATAAAAAGTGTGAACATGGGCAAATTTCAAAGACTTCTTGGGGAGTTCTCCACAAAAGTGGCATTGTTCTGGAGGAACAAAGTAGACCACTGTGGATGCAATTTGTCTTTTAAATGTATACAATCATTCCGCATTCATTACACAATGTTACTGCCAAGTTAAGATATGATGTATTCATTAAAAGGCTTCTGGCTTATCAAGGGCTGTTTGGTTACAGATCACTGCTTGCAGCAATTCTTCTTGTGCCTGATGTTAGTCATGTTGAGTTAACGTGCTCTGTCCGCATGAGAAGAAAATCAACTCCTTACCCAGATTCCTGCATTAACAGTTACAGATCAGAGCACTCAGAAGCCAGAGGGCACCTCAGTGAAGCTTTGACTGAAGACACAGGAGTTGGGACCAGTGTAGCTGGAAGTCCTCTGCCACTGACCACAGGGAATGAGAGTCTTGATATCACCATAGTTAAGCATTTGCAGTATTGTACACAGCTCATTCAGGTACACCTGCTCTTTGGGGTTATATTTTCAATAATATTCCTAGCAGCATGTGAGGGGCAGCGACTTAGGGTTTACATTGCTTGGTGAATTTAATGCTGGGTGAAAGCGAGGCAGGAGTCAAAATGAATTGAAGGGCTGGCTGGGGCCAAGAAAGTTTCTGCAATGTAGCTCTTCTAATATGCCTCAGTTGTGACCGGCCAGGCCTCTGTTGTGCCAGTCTTGGCCTCTTCTGAGCTGAGAGAGTCAGACCTGCAACTATAGGACTGTTTTGCGACATGAACTACTAGGAAAGTGCAAACCACTCAATTCACTTTCCCCCAGATCCAAATCCTGGCACTGAACCTGCCATTGGCTTTGTGTCTGAAACTCCCATTGACTTCCACTCCACTTTCAGTTTTATGTGATCAGATCCAAATCCTGGCACTGAACCTGCCATTGGCTTTGTGTCAAACTCCCATTGACTTCCACTCCACTCTCAGTTTTATGTGAGTTTTAGATTTCTAGAGGTGACATGGAAACCCATTGGATCCACTGTTTATTCTAGCTCAAGCCCACCGGTGGGGGTGGGGGTGGGGCGAGAGGAGAGGGCAAAGGGGGCAATTGCCCCAGGACCCAGTATTTCAGGACCCAGCCCCCACCGCTGCTACTGCAGCAGTGGCCAGAGCCCAAGGCCATTGAAACTGCCACCGGAGTACCAGGCGGTGCTGAAGGGCTGTCAAGGGAAGGCTAGACCCAGCTCCACCCCTTGTTCCTGAGGCCCTGCTCCTTCTGGGAATGCAGAGTCCCTCACCTTTGCAAAGAGCTCAACAATTCAGTTGGCTACTCTGCTCTAGCTAAACCCCAGGCCTCTGGAAGTAAAACAAGATATTTTTGCTTTTAAGTAACACAGAGGCATTGAGGGAATAAATACAAGATGATTCTTTAAATGCAGGGAGTTGTCAAATGCTACTTTTGCATTGGATTCTGTGAGCAAACACAGTGGAATGTACAACAATGTATCAAAGGCCAGTCTTCGTGTGAACTAAGTCTGGATAGTTTTGCATTACACAAAACCAAAGTAAAAGCTTGTCCCAGGATTTTGTGTTTTGCTTTAGAGAAAAATCAGTGTTTTCCTATTGTATTGGAATAGATTGAAGCCTCATTTACTGCATTTGGCTCTCCACTCCCAAGCAGATATAGTAAACATCTATTTCTAATGGCCACAGGCTCACTCCTGCTACAATGAAAAGCTAGGCCTGCTTCTGACATCTTTCTGATTTAGACAGTTAAATCCCATCCCTGTGGAATAAGGAAGGGTATTGGGCTCAATACTGGAGTAACAGCATGAAATTCTGTGGGCTGCACATGTCATGCAGAAGGTCAGACTAAATGATCTAATGCTCCATCCAGTCAAAGTGCGTAAAGCAGCTCTTCAGTATTTAAAAGTGTATTTAGGTGTTTATAAATGGATTTAGGTACTTTAGTTAGGTATCTATACATAAAAATTAAGCCTCTAAAAAAATCAGTGTGCAACCACTGCAAAACATACAAGCATCAGACGCTTTAAGGGGATACTGTACAATAGAACCTCAGAGTTAAGAACCACCAATCTGTCAACCACAAAGTATGCAATCAGGGAGCAGCTCCAGGTACCAAAAAAGCAAATGTAGCACTGTGTTAAACACAAACTACTTTAAAAAAAAAATCAAGGAAAAGCAGCATTTTTCTTCTGCATAAAAAAAGTTTCAAAGCTGTATTAAGCCAATGTTTGGTTGTAAACTTCTGAAAGAACAACCATAATGTTGTGTTCAGATTTACAAACAACTTCCGTTCTCAAGGGGGACTACTATACAACCAGTTTATCACAACAGTTTTTACATCAGATCAGACAATTTCAGCATGATGAAGTGTCCTCAGGACTGTTAGTAGGGTTCAGTAACTTTTTTTAATCCTTGTTTTGTTAGCAAATTGTGTTCTCCGGTAAAACTCCATTCGTTGTAAGAAACCTCCTGGATAAGCTGTCCAAGCAGGTTGTAATAGTAGGAAACCTGGCAGAAATCAGCAGTGAGAATATGGGCAACATCATTTCTGTAACTGAAGGTAGGTAACAGCGTAGGACGTTGCCACTTGGAAAGATTGGACGCATGTGTGTGTGCGCGTGTGTGTGTGTGTGTGTGTGTGTGTGTTGGTTGCCGTTTGGAAAGATTGGACGTGTGTGTAAGTGAGTATAAGTCTTCCTAAGAAGTTATCTGACTTAGTAAATTCAGTTGCACTGAAGGCTGACAGACATTTGCAGATAGACTCTATACCACCGTCTAACCTGGTGTCAGTCAACAGATGATGGCAGGAGACCTCACACTGGGCTAAGGCAGGCTAAGGAGAGAGACGTGCTCTCTACTTCCAGTGTGACTCCTTTCCTCTGCCACACCAAAAGCAGATGGCTGCAGTAGCACAGGACATTGCCAAAGCAATTGGTGAGGGGTCTTCTCTGAGTAGTCAAATTCTTCCACCACCTCTCATTGTCCAAAATGGGATTTGGAGGAGATCTAGCTCATAGGATCAAAGGCATGACACAGTCTCTGAATAATTTGTCTAGAAGGCTACTTTTCATTACCATTATTGACTAACACTTTGGAGTTCTATAGCATCTTGGAAGAGTTTTACAAATATTTGTAACCCTCACAAACCCAGTGGAGTAGGCAGATAAATAGTGTTAGCACTATTTTGCCAATTAAGAAAAGAGGCAAAGCAGTTAGGGGAGCTGCCCCAGAAGGACAGTGTACCAGAACCTGGGGTAGAATTCTGGTGTCAGTGGTTCCCAGTCCTGTGTTCAGATCATCACATCACATCTCTGGCACTTAATGGTAATCAAAGAACCATTTTCCAGTTCCAATACTGGATCAAAAGCAAGCTTGCTTTTATCATTTGGGATGTGTCTAGACTACAGGGTTTTGTCGACAAAAGTCCATGTTTGTTGACAAAACTATACCTGCGTCTACACTACCGCCGAGTTCTGTTGACAGAACTCAGCAGTTTTGTCGACGGCAATAATTCTACGAGGAATAACGCCTTTGTCAACAGAGTTCTGTCGACAGAAGGCGTTATTGCATCTACACTGTCCTTTGCGTCTACACTCTTATGTAGACAAAGCGACTTGCTTTGTCGACAGAAGCTTTGTCGACAGTATCTGTGGACAAAGCCTCTGTCAACAAAAGCCTGTAGTCTAGACATACCCTTGGATTTTTAGTCTGGGAAGCCAAACACAGAGCTAGCACTTCATTTGCACTGGG